CTTCTTTTTCCCGAACACTGTTGATCAGAATCCAAGGGACCTAAACTGAGTTATTATGTCTTAGCTGCACTTCTTTCTTTCATATCATATAAGATTTGAAACTGGAAAGATCCATCTAACGTACAATTTGACACACTCTAGAAGGATCAAAAAAACATTGTGTCTACTCATGGTTGGAGAAAGTAAGACAGGGTAACCATAATTCAGGTGTTTTGCGAGCGCTGTAAACCGAACAGAGCAACACTATAAGAGTACATAGCTGAAGCTTCAAAAAAAGTTCACAACCAAATTAAAATACTTACCCACGTCACTTCAGGGGCCCTACTATTTTGGATCCGCCCATGATGAGACATAAGACTACGGCCCAAATCGGACTGAGCGCACTTTGCTATTCTGTGAAAGTCTCAAGTTAAAAAATAATTCATGCGTTGTGGAACATCTCATTTTACTTTTCAATGAAATTTAATGAATGAATTTTTTAATGAAAAGCATTGGAATTCTCAGAAAAAGGGGTCAGCATATTCGCGTATGTAGATGATCTTACTGGTCGCTTGTGGCGCGAGGTTCTAAAGCATCATTGCTGATACATGAAGCCGCAAAATTATGAAGCAGCACCTCCTCCGATGCAGTCTACTGCACTAAAAGGATTGAATCGCAGATATATTGGTTTGTAGATAACCGCACAATTTAAACGTCCAACTCACTCAACTCCAGATGATCATCGACATCAGGTAGATACGACATATACAAGCTTGAAGAGGGGTGCGCTTCGTTGCGCGTGTCCATCGAAACTAGGTCACGCCGCAGCCGTCGCACGCGGCGAGTCTGCCCGCGATATTTGACAGACGTCGCAATTGTCACTGGGACATACGCTTTGCGTTTGGTCCACGGCAGTCAGTTCAAGAAGAAGATAACACAGACAAATGCAAATCATTTGCTCCAATGACACTTGGTAGTACTGTAATGTCACCTCGAAACCTCAGTGTGATGCGCCGCGCGCGAAGTGGGCGGGGTGACCTACTTTCGACGGACACGGGCGACGGACGTTCTCCTCTTTCCAGAGTGGAGGTGGTGCAGTGGCAAGTGGCGCACTATCTCTCACGCACGGTCAGGGGTTCGAATCCTGGATCGATATCCGCTTAGGCCAAACAAGCCTTCCATCCCTCCGGGGTCGGCGAATTGGTACCAGATTCGTCTGGGAGGATAAAAACATCGACTTGTACATCGGCTGGCCACCGCAAGTCATTGTATAGGCCACACACTCATTACGCCACTACGATTCTGTATGGAAGTCAAGCCTGGGGGCGCATCCCTCAGACGGGATTGACTAACGCCTAAATTTTATCCTTTACTCATTTATTAACTTCTTTCCACGGCATATTCCGGTATGCATCGTTACTCGAGATCGAGCAATCATGACGTAGTGATAATTTTCAAGGGCTATTGCAGCAACCGGACAACTTCCGAGGATTCGTTCAGTTCATTTTACTTTTTGTTCAGTTTCAAATCTGAGCATGATCGTGAAGACATTTTGCCAAGTTTTCTTCCGCCACTAGCTCAAGCCAAGTTTTTCCAAGATGAAGTTTCGAGTCTGCCGATCCAGAATCTCCTAAGAATGGGAAATGATATTTTCCAGACGCAATTGAGGTGCAATTCTCCACAGTACATTGCCTAATTGTAGCCTCCATCATAGATATAACGACAAAAAATGATCCGCAACCATAAATGGTTTCGTCAGGGCCCTCCGATACTATTTTGACTGTTGTGGGTTTTCTAAAAATGCGTAAGGTCTCAGGAAAAGGGTGGATTTGCTTAGCTGTTTGACGTTCCACTTTTATTGAAGTTTATATTTGGCCTCATGCTAGATGTGCATCGGCGATATCTAAAAATTGGCAGGACAATGCGATAGTCAAGAATGTAGGTTCACATCTTGAAATATGGTGACTGATCATAGCTTAGGGATGCTTTCACTGTGGCTTTTTGGGATAGCACCTTCTTCTTTACGATGCCAGTTCTCTTATTGTTAGAAGCACAGATCCGATTGCATATCCAATGCTCGCCCTGCACAATTTTGTGTAACCGAATAATTTAGCACTTATTTCTTTTTTTAGGCTTCTATAAACATTTGAATGGATGTGTATGAATAAGTGGACTTCAAATGATGTTTTCGGTGATCGCAGGAACCACGTAAAACGCAGTAACATGTCCGGCCGCATCGCATACTTTGTATGGAGCATCACGTCTCTTTGACTTAAGCTTCTGTAGCCGTAGCACAATTTATCTTACTAGTAGATTAGTGCATATGCGTTTCGTTCAAACTGCTGATCGATATTGAAAAAGGTGCAAGGTCTGCATTAAGCAGCATTAATGGCTCGAAAGCCATTAATGCTTCTTCTTATAAATTCATGTACATATATGCTACATATGTTGCTGTAAGACTGCAAACTGCTGTATGGAAATCCAACCACCACTAATGAACCGCTCTAGTTATTTCTTTGAGAAGTGCCAAACCTTCGTCCAAATCTTCCTCTCGGGCTCTAACTCTAGCCAAAGTTGATATACAAACTCGTATTACTTGTACGTTGGATAGCAATATGTGTACAGGGCTATCCTATCTATTGTTTCTGCCACTCTTTCAGATGGTGTCCGTTGTGTCATTCTTTCTGCTTTATATGTCATCAAGTAGTCTCGCTTCAGTCGTCATAGACATTGTTGGAGAGTCAATGTGCCCGGACACAACACGGTAAGACCGTTTCACACTACGGCACTACTATTCAGCATCTATTTCGAATGAGGGACTCCTCAATAACAATGGCAGATTGTCATCTTTATAAGTATACGTGGGGCTGTATTCTGTGCAAGATGACAGTGGTGTTCTGAGCGGTTATGCGTTATCATCACGCCTTCGGCGTTGATTCGTGATCCAGTAAGCGCAAAGCATTTGCCTCCTACTCATAAACACAGAGATTCCGCAGTAGTTTACCGCTTTAAAAGTTTGTCCTTCAAGCGCTCCGTAGAGCTTTTCAGAGGATTAAGCTATGGTGGGTCGTCCTATAGGAATTTAAGCTATCAAAATAATCACGCAGGCTGGCAGTTCATCAAAATACATAGACTTGTAGCAGGGCCTGAATTATAAAGGATCTTAGCATAATCGTTGCAATTTTTCTCACTAACTCTCATCACATATGTATATATATAGATGGAATCGTTAACCTTTCAAATGGCCGGACGGCGCAAAGGCAGCATTTTCTGTGCAAGATCGATTGAATCAATCAAGTTTCCATGAAACCGAGCTTCTCTTCGAGCAATAGACCATTTTTGAATCGCATCCACTCTCAAAAGCCGAGTTTGGATCCGGATTACCATGAAAAATGCTGGTTCTCTGAACTATGAAAANCATAAAAGCTGGAAATTCCAAATTTCCGAAGAGCGTTCTGGGGAGTATAAACGATCGTTGCCTTTAGTAGAAGATCTCTATGTATGTCCTTTGCCGAATAGTCTGGAGTACGAAAAATTCTATTGAATTTGCAGAGACCTAAACATCCTGATGTTGTGGTGCCCTTCATAATGCTTAATTGTCAAATTAGCATTTCAGCTGTTTTTGCCTTCTCACAACACTCCTATCCTAATCACCAAACAACTATAGAGAACGTGAACATGAACTTGCCGCTAAACCCAACTTTTCCCGTTACCCTTCGATCAAAGTGAGCTTTTGATGAGCGTAATTCATCGGAGCGTCGATTTCAAAAGTTTATGGGAAGCCTCCAACAACTTGGCCTCCCGAATTAAGTAGAGTGAATGGTCAAATAGAGACATCTTTTGTTGTCTTCAGCCTCCACGACATTCAGTGCTAAGTGAAAAGCGGAGAGTTCCGAATTTTTTGTAGCTGTTGTATATGTCCAGCTAGCACTTCGAGGCTCAAGCAGCTTCACGAATCTGAATGTACAGTAGCGCTCAAAAGTCCGGTGAAATGCTTTGACGCTCTTTCTTTCATAACTTTTTTGTTAGCAGACCAAATCGCGTCAAATTTGAATATGTTTAACTAGAGCATATTTCACCCTACCCAACACTATTTGACTGCGAAGCTTCAATATCCACAGATA